TATAAACTGAACAAATAAAACAATAATATTCTTAAAAAACATGAAACTTTGTCAAATAAAAAATTAATTTTTTTTTTTTAATAATTTTTAGTAGATATATATGTTTGTTAACTGGCGCTTTAATTTTTCGTTAAAAATATATACATATATTGTCAGAAAAGATTGCTCCGCAGGAAGATGTTGTCCTCGATAGTGTAAATCTCAAAGGTTTAATAATTATATTTACATAATATACAACAAGCACCATTTTGGATCTTAGCCGTTTGACATCCAACATAATTAGCATTATAAAATAGTCTTAGGATAAAAATTTCCCACTCCATTCCTAATTTCTAGAGAAGGAAACAAATTGATGTTCTTATAACGATTCTGTCGCATTATAACATACTTATAAAATGCTTGTTTTAATATTCTATAAATATTCGTAAAGTGCAATTAAGCTGCAAAGTAAAACCGCTATAGTATAATCGTATACCCTGATAGCAAAATTTGATTCTAAGAATCTTCTAAGAAGATACGACTCGGAATAATGGAATATTCTTAGAACCTTCCCTTATTGCTAAGAATGTTCTTAGGGACTTTTAAAACATTCAATAGATACCCTTTTAATGATGCAAGTAGATTCTTAGAAGCTTCTTAAAACCTTCCTAAAAAGCAATCTAAGAACATTTTAAGAATACGTTTTTGGAATGTTCTCAGAAGGTTTCTTATGGAGCTTCTAGGAAGCTTTTGAGAATATTTCCAAATATGTCAGATACCCACGTTCTAATATGTTGGATTCTACATTCGTAAAATTCTTCAGGAGGCGACAAATACGCCTCACTGTCATAATATGAAAGTGAAATGTATTTGTCGTCCCCTTAAAAAAATTTGCGACATTTAATATATATTTGTTTAAAAATATTAAATAAACAATTTGACCTCTGAACCATAAGTTGACATTATTTCATAAAAAGTAAAATTGGAAAATTTTGTGGGATAAGTCAGATTAGATTGAAGTTGAAGATAGTAGGATTATTATACAAAAAAATGTTAATTCAGAAATAAAAAATCGGTATACAAATTAATAAATATTTATTTTTAACATAAAATAAAATACCTAAAAAGTATTTTTGTTATCTAATATTGTTTTAATTTGATAAATAACTATAAAAAATATTTTGGGTTGTTTTTTACTTAGTATTTAATACTAATTACTTTCTCAACATTCTAAGCATAGGTATGTTTAGAGTGGATTAATTTTTACCACAAAACTTTGCACCTTCTAAGAACCTGCCTAGAGGCCAGTGAGAATATTCTTAGGATTATGCTATATTTCTTTTAAGCATGTTCTTTAGAAGAAATATAGGATGATCCTAAGATTATTCTCACTGGAAGGTTTAAAAAACATTCTTAGAACATGCCTAGAAGATATATAGCATGATCCTAAGAATATTCTCACTGGAAGGTTTAAAAAACATTCTTAGAATAAACTGTGCTATCAGGGTAGCAGTTCCCCAGTATACTGATACTGAGTTTTATAAGGGTTGTGTAGTGTATTTATATAACTGCTAACGAAGTAAACTGTTTTATAAAACGGGGCCCTTTTTGGTTGAGTAAGTGTTGTATAGTAGTTTTTAAACGCATTATACAATTTTAGCGTTTCTATAATATGTGTTGTATAGCAGTTCTAACAACACTTACATAATCAATTTTGTTATACCTAAAGTAAATAGTTTTCGAGTTCCATATAACTAAAGTTAATAATTTCAAAGATATTTAACAATTACATCAATTGAAATGTTTCTTAATTTTATATTTGATTAGGTAAAAACATACATTTTATTTATTTGTTTAAAAAAAATGTTAAAGAATTGACATGGAATCTTTAAATAATGTTTTAGGATTCCAAAAATTCCAACCCCATTTCGGCAAACTTAATAGCAAAAAAGTTATAGGCTATTTTTGATTGACGCGCGTTTGTAAAATTTTAACGAAAAACTGAAATCGATATCTTTTGCTGTTCCTCAGACACTTTTAATGGACCACGAACATAAAACACTCGTATTTCGTAAATGTGCAACACACTAGTGTGTATATAATTAAAATAATTAAAAAAAATAGTATATTATGTATCGAGTTTGATAAACGCCATTTTATACACGAATTTAATTTAGGCACGAGCGAGCTTGCGAGCGAGTGCTTAAGTTAAAGAGTGTATAAACGAGGTGCATACTATACTTTTTCTACGACAAATTATTATTATCTTAAAATGATTTAAATCAAAAATTTGTATAGAGCGCCATCTATGAAACAACAGGGGAAACTGTCAAATGTCACATTTTTACATTTTATAAACACAATTATAAAGGTTATAAATCGAAATGTATCTTGACAATTGACAGTTTTTCACAGTGAAAATAAAAGAAATGTTTTATGTCATAGAGGACTTTACAGTCCGTGCCCGAATTTAAGTTATAGTTTACTGCCGGTCAGTACAATGTTCATATAAACTTTTCAAATATTGGCGTTGAGAAACTATTTAATATTTTTGTATTGAGATAATAAAATAATTTTCACATTTAGTATTATTTTACAAGAAAGGGACTTTATTTTAAGGATTGTATGAGATTTGACAACTGTTAATTAACTTAAAACTAACTTCAGCCCGTGACTAAAAACCTGTTGCTAACTTCAGCCCGTGACTAAAGCGCCGTAAAGCCACAACTTGTCAATGTGTATTTAAAATTTTAAGGTCACTTAGTGTCATGGAAACATGTACGATAAAAAGCGTTTTAAAGGTGGGAGTAGAAAAAAATAATTTTAATGGTTGTCCATTTGAGGAGCATCCGTGCAAAACCGGCTATATCCACTTTAATAAAATGTTGGGAAAATGGCAAAAACTCTCGGTTTCCTGCCCTTTACAGATAAAAGAAAAAGCAAACTTGAGTTTTGTGGGCTTTGTGGTACTTGATATCAAGTACTATAGTAATATTTATAAGACATACTTTCGTTTTCAAAAACTTTATATTAAGGCCAAAATTTCAAAAAATGTTTTGTATATAGCCGGTTTTGCTCAAAAACCGAATAAAATGTGAAAAAAACCTTTATTACTCAAAAATATTAACAAAATAAATTTAGTGCAAACATGAAAAAACAGAACAAATTTTAGTAGTAGTATCGACATAACCAAGCCACATGCTCATCATCATTATTATTTATTGGATATAGTCGGATTTAAACAGAATTATCTTGGTTGTCGATAGAAATGAACCCAAAGATGCGAAATCAGAAAAAAAAACAAAAACTGAATAAGATGGATTTAGCCGGTTTTGCACGGATGCTCCTTATTTATTCAGTGAATCAATTTTTCTTAAAAATATACAGTCTAGCTGTTATCAAAGCTGTTATATTATGTGCCGAATACCGTGGATAACATTTTATTGAATCGCACTTAAAAAAAATGACGTGATCTGAAAAAACACGGGTACCATTTTCAACATCTAAGTATAGGAATTTTTCATGTGAGGGAAAAAATCAAATTTTGTAGTACTTACTGTGTAATCGATTAATCGATTATTTAATCGATTATTTTGCCCACCCCTACTTACTGTATTGCTCTCATGAATAATTGACACCTACTAAAACCCTGTGCGAAGTGCACACTGTATAAATAACTACGAAAAAACTTATTCCTCCTATACCTAATACCTACTTATAAAAACAAATTGTAAAAATTACTCCGAGAAAATATGACCCCTAGGGGTCATAGCTATGTGCGTCGTATGGATGTATAAACGTTTCAGGAAATATGTGATTGTATTTTTGGAACAACTTCATTACTTATTGATTGTGTGATGTATTGTTGTAGAATTTAATACAAAGAATGCGGAATTTGCGAATTAATGCACGCGTAAATGTCGTAGATCATAAACTAATTCAGTAGGTATTATTAAAATGCTGCAGTTAAATGATTAAATTATTTTATTTATTTATTTTATAAATTTAATGCATCTATGTATTTTTAAATTTACTAATTTTGATTGTATTTACCATATCCGAGAAATTTAGGAAACATAAGACGTCATCTGTTTCCAATTATTCAATTAACAATTTATTAAACATTTTGATTTTAATTATTTAATTGTAACTTTTAACCAAGGTAGGTAATTAGTTAGTTTGACAGGGTAAATTTATTAAGATGAATTTGTTGTGTTGTGTATATATAGATACTATAGTAGATATATCTACTCAGTAGATTCTACTGTATTAATATTAATATTAATAAAAAAAACTAAGTTGGGATTAATTAATACTAAAAAACAAATTTAAGTGTACATACCTACAGGGTGAGCACAGAAACCAAGTGTTTTTAATAATCATAAAAACTGCAATTTTTGCTTTACAAAAATTTTGATAAACAAATATTAAAAATATTCCCCAACACCAAAACAAAACCCAAAGTGCTTAATGGTATATTGTGTATTAAGTTTGATAAACGCCATTTTAGACACGAATTTAATTTAGGCATGAGCGAGCTTAATAATAAAACAACGTTACATATTTTAAACGTAGTGTCAATATTTTTTTTAAACTAATAAATTTATTTTCACAGAAAATTTTAACACAATAAAACCTAAAAATTTCATCAAAGTCGGAAAAAAAATTGTTTGCTCAACAGCACTTTAAAAATTGCCTAAATTTAGCTAAAAACGATTTTTTTCCTTTAAAACATTATGAAGGAAAAACTTTACGAATGTGTATAATACCTAAAACCCTGGAAGTCGGCAACAAAATCCATTGCTTTCAAAATATATTAATAATTTATAAAATAAACAATAAAAATAAAACTATTTTAGCACTTACATTAAAGTTTCAAAGTTAAAATTTTATATTAAAATATTAATATGATTTAATGGGTATTTTTAGCAAATAGACATTGTGGATTTTGATTTTGATAACGTTTTTAATACTTTTTTAAAATTAACTTTTGTCCAGCTAAAATGAAACAGTTGTATTTTTTAATAAAATATATTTAAAATTAAGTATAAATAAAAAATTTACACATTTTTCTTTACAATTTTACTCCTTATTTATTTGGGAAGCTTGCAAGCTTTTAATGGCCATTTGTAAAGCACCCTCCTTGGTTTGATTCCCGCCAATAAATCCAGTGGCGTGACAAAATATCGACCCATCAACTCCAGAAACTTTACTTAAAACTTCGTCCCTCACTCCCCTCCACTCTTTATGCAGAAAAACCCTGCAAAAACATTAAGTTATTTTTAACAAGAATAAAATAGGGGTCCTAAAGTTTTTTACCTGCAAATGAAGCTACCAGGGTCCTTGGGAATTCCCTGGACCCTCCAGGACGATTTAGCATCATGGAAAATGCAGAATTTGATTTCATCCTTAATCCCCATTTCTTCTTCCAAAGAATGAAGATGGTCTTTCCATGGACACCTGTCTTCCAACAGCAAGATTTCTCCTGTAGAATAAACATTGTGTCTGTTTTTTATTGCCTTTTTTACGATGTCTCTCGCTGGCCACCAGATGGTTGTTGCCTACAATATATTTGTTGTATTTTATTTGTCTGTAGATTATTCCGGTTTTTTACCTCCAATAAAATTTCTGTAAATTCAACACCAACTAAATCAACAGCTTTATAAAAACATTTTTGTATTGTTTCTTCATCTGATATGTCCCAATCAGGGTTTAATCTATGTACTCTGGAACTTAAATCTGTGTTAATTCTGTATCTAGGAATACCTAAAAATATAGTTTAACATTAACAAGGCAAGTAATCTAAAAGATATCTATTTTATACCACTTTTTCGTAACTTTAAATTTTACAGCTTGATATGATAAAGAACACCCTGGTTAAAATAAAAAAAAAAATAAAAAAATACTACCTATGACCTTGAAAATTTTAAATTAATTTACTTACCTTCACCATACATTGGTATTCCATTATCTATGGCATCCATTTCTTCTACAAAACCTTCATAAACATGTATATAAATATTTTCCAAAGCTTCTGTAGTCAGCATAATATCCCTCCTCGTAAGTAAATTCTCTATAACTTCCATGCCAAAATGTGCATATATTAAACCTGCAGAACTTAATCTAGAAACAAAAACCTAATTAACTTCAACAAATTTAGTTGTTTCGCAATAATTACTTAATGGTTTTGTTTTTTGCTAATTCAGGCCTAACTGTAGAAAGAGTGTGTTCAAACTCTCTTTGATGATGGTCAAATCTATTTATTTTTGGGTCGTATACTGCTCCAACATCAACTACAATATCACAGGTGGCTAAAACCTATAAAAAATACAAAACATTTTCACAATCTCTAAAATACATCCAGGTATTAAGAATTATTTTATAATTTTATTAATTGTTTAAAAGTTTAAATAATATAAAAATAAAGGCCTTATTACAATAAATTATAACAAGGTAGTGTTTTATTTTATACGTGTACGTAATTGTATTTCTGGTAAGAAAATAATTTTAGGATATTTACTATGGCAAGGCAGAGTTTCTCACTATGGTATTTTTAGTATATTCTGTAATTAAATGGATATTATAAAGGTACTTATCTACAAAAATGACAATTTTTTAACAAGAAACCTATTTAACATAATAAAATAAAATTTACCTCCATATCCCTTGTACGAACAACCTCAGCACTTTCATATTTAGGCAGTTGTTTTAACATGAAACAAGCCAAGGCTTCATCGCAATGAAACATTCCACTGTGAGTCCCTATCCTCTGCATTAAGCGGGGTGTTTTATTTTCCGCCATTGTAGTAAATCTAGGAAAAAACATCAATTAAACACCCTATAAAATATTTCTGCGGTATTTTTCTTACCCTTTCCACACTGTCTCGCCTAGGTTCAACGTTTTCTGCAGCAGACTCCCGCCAATAACGGTATTGAAACGAGCTAAGGGAAACATAACCGCACTTTTTCTTTGACATTTCTGATCGAGTAGTTCGAATGTACTTACGGAGGGTGATATCAAGAAGACTACATGAAAGAGGTAAAACCAAAAAGACTAATATAGGAGAAGTAACTTTTGATCACAAGGCGTAACAAACAGTGGCGTAGCGACACTACCGCGAGCGGTTAGGAATTTGTACTTTTGACTGTTTAAGTTTGTTATTTAAATTAGGGCAATTATATGTGCTTACCTTTGTATATATTTATTGGGGTGTGCCAAAAAAAGAGTTATTTTTTTTTTCATGCCCTCACCCCAAAATCTCTCAGAGAATGCTCAAATAAAGCTTCTGTTAAAAGCAGAGATCCATATTCAAATTTTAAGAGGTTCTCCATCGAACTTTAAGTTTTTCCGTCTAAATAACATGGAAAACATGGTTTTTTTGACACTTTTTTGTCCTGCAAGGTGTGAAAACATTTTTTTTTATGAAAATACATAAATGGACCTTTTTTATCATTAAATTTACTACAAAAAGTTCTATGAAGTCAAATTTTTATCTTCAATACTTGATTATTGACAGAGCTTTAAACTTCAAATTATCGGTTTTCTGCATTTTTTAGCTATACCATAAGAAAAATGCTAAATAGCCGATTTCTAGAACGTTTAAAATCCTACAAAAAAGTCCTTCCTGATCAACTTTTTTGTATCACCAATAGCTACAAAGTTATAGCCCTACAAAAACCGATAATTTGAAGTTTAAAGCTACAAAGTTATAGCCCTATTGTAGTATTGAAGATAAAAATTTGACTTCATAGAACTTTTTGTTGTAAATTTAATGATAAAAAAGGTCCATTTATGTATTTTCATAAAAAAAAAATCACACCTTGCAGGACAAAAAAGTGTCAAAAAAACATGTTTTCCATGTTATTTAGACGGAAAAACTTAAAGTTCGATGGAGAACCTCTTTAAATTTGAATATGGATCTCTGCTTTTAATAGAAGCTTTATTTAAGCATTTTCTGAGAGATTTTGGGGTGAGAGCATGAAAAAAAAATATCTCTTTTTTTGGCACACCCTAATATTTATATATAAGTAAAAACATACTTAAAACTTAAATACTTGACATAAAAAATTAATAATAATATATGATTAATTAAAAAATCATAATTTACTCATATACCTATAACTATAGTTATAGGTATACCTATATATATATGAATTTACTACAATCTACTTAATATTATGGGCCACCATCACAACATAAATGTAAAACACCTGTAACGGAATATTTTAATGAATTTTAAAAATCGCATTTTTACAATTATTTTATTTACAATATAAAAACGTAAACGCCGTACAATAATATTATATAAGGTACTGTAGAATAAATTCACACACATAACCTATAACATTACATATGTCAAACGTCAAACCTATAACAAAATGTAGCAAACTCGAGAATTTTAATGTATTTACATAAATATTAAACGCTTGAAATAAAAATAGTAGGTATATACAACACGGCGAACAAAGTATATTAACTGCCTCGCTCAGATCTGCTCACTCGACTGGCGTCTCGGCTCCGTACGCTCCGAATTTTCCATTGTTTATAATGTAAAATCCACAAAAATGCATACAAAGTGCTGAAATTTTAGTTTTTTTCATTTTTTGGGTTCAACTATGGTTCCTTAACCCTATAGGGTTATACTTTTAAGGGTAAGGCCCCAGAAAATAATTAAAAATGAGTTTAACAAAAATATATTTTAATAATTTAATAGTCTTATTAATTGAGGCGTTTCTCGGAAAAACATCATTAGTCCAATATCGTCGAAATTTAGATATTAGCACCAACTGTTTCCTAACCTCCATATATACGTATACAAATAAGTGTTTCTCGTAAAAATGTCATAGGTTCCATAATAATTAAATATGAAATTTAGCTTGTTCTTCTAAAAACATCACAAGTCCACTCCGTTTCGTCTAAGAGAGTTTCATGTGCATAACATGTGACGTTTTTGGACACTCTAGAAAAGCTTCTACCTCTTTTACATGACCACAGCAATAGAAAATTTTATGATAACTTGTAAAAGACCAGAAGACCATAGCACCTGACAGTTCCTGATAACACGGTCGACAACGATGATAACAGCAGTGGATGCGAAGACTGATGTGGCAGTAATACAGTTTTTAATTTTTTCAATTATTTTGTTACTCAGAGTTAATATTTAGTTTGTAGTGTTTGTAGTAAGGAGAATTGTTCGTTTTTTTCTTCTAAAAACCTCACAAGTTCATGTATTTTTTGTGTTTTTTTCATATTCGTCGAAACAAAAAACATGAGGAATTCTGGACACAGCATCTTACATTTTTTTACATGTAGTAAATAGGTCAATAAAGTACTTTGGTAAAAAATGGGAATGTCGGAGAGTTTTTTTCATTTTCCCAAATATGTTAGTTTTGGACTAATGATGTTTTTCCGAGAAACGCGTCAATTATATCTTTTATTTAAACGCGGTTTCGGCAAAATCGGTCGATACATTCAAAAGTTATAACTTGGCTATAGCGATATATAATTATTTAAACAAAAAATATTTCCTGCTGATATTACGAATTCTACTTTACAGCGACCCATCCAGACCACCTCCAGGTCATTTTTGTACTGTTGTACAGTGCAATTTAATAAACGTTCCTTGTGAGCTTTGTATTTCTTTACTTCTTCTTCTTCCTTGGTGGCCAAAGGCCTTAATGGTCTCGGTTTCAATGTACCATTTTGACCAGCAATAAGTTTGTCCATGCGCTTCACGAAGCCATCCACCCGTGAATTTTCCAAATCTTGGATCATCCATTCACTCAATGTATTGTACAAATCACAAAATAACTCGCTAGAAGGTCAAAGCTTGCGATATTGTCCAATAATACAGGTATATTTCTATACCCGGAATCCAATTTTGTCCCTCCTGGGTCAAAGTCAGGTGTGTTTCACACTTTTTCATCGAGCGATGTCCCAGAGACGAAAGACCAAATGGAAGTGTTATTTCTTTACCTAACATAAATTAACTTGTCGCCTGGAGGCGAAATTAGCACTTCAGAGCTAAATTCATCCGACAATGCTGACGGACACCTTGATAAGTGAGAGTTTGGTAATAGTGCGCGGCGGGAAATCATGAGCACCATTTTAATTCAAATTTCGGGTTTTATATGGAGAACTATATGACTGCTATAGCTGAATTGTTGGTACGACTATTTTTGGAATTATTTCGAAAAAGAGAGTAGGAAAATTGATTTATCGATTTGTTTACGAATTTTTATAAATTTTTGGCTGCAGAAAACAAAGCGGTAAGTCCACAATTTTTATCCAATCGTTTTGAGTGGGGTATATTTTTAAAATATGGTATTTAGTTTTGTTTTAGCACATTTTATTGATAAACAACAAGTTTTTTGTCTTGTCGTGACATGAATTATATAAAAAACACAGCGGGGGAATCGTGCGCATAAAGTTTAGGCCATAAATGCGCACGAGAGAGGCAACACCTGACACATCCAACGACTCATGAGAGGAAGATTTGTCATACATATATGACGATGATGTTAGACGATTCTTAAATAAATACACTGGCGAAAGAAATTAACGCATCACCATAAATTTATCATTATTTTTTTGTTAAATATTTTCCGAACAAATTATTCGATTTTGATGATCATTTTTTTTGGATTGTAAAACGACTTTTAGATAATTTTGCTATGACTTTAGTTTTTTTATAAATCTTTGTTTCTTTTATTTACGGGGTGTTATACTGATACTTGATTTTTTTCAAAATTCTTGAAACACCCTGTGGATAAAAGTAGCAGTAGTAGCAAATCCTAAAATGGATTAAACCATAGCCCTATCTATCCTTACCATTCTCTTTTTTGATTCACCTTTTTATCTCTTTGATTAAAGGATATACACATTTAATTAACACTGCATGTTTTATTTACATTTTTATACATATTAAAGAAAACAGGCTATTGCGTCTTGGCAAAATAATGGCATTTCATACAAAATGGGAATATTATTTAACTTAAGGTTTACACATTTAAACATTAATATAATTAGCAAAATTATCTATTGTATTAACGCAACACAGTAAATATTGCTTTATGTTTCCTCCTTTTGCACGAATTATAGCCTATTTCCTCTTGATCAATATTTTCCCAAGTTTGTTGTAGCCTTTTCTTCCAGTTCTTGTTGATTATTGGGTTGATGAGGAAGTTCTCTTAACCATTAGTCTATTATATCCCAGATATTTTTTATTTGATTAAGATCCGGACTTCTGGCTGGCCAACGCATTGTAGGAATATTAAACTCGGCAAGATATTGTTGTACAATCCTGGCCGTATGCGGTCTAGTATTATCATGCATGGAAATAAAATTCCCACTGACAAAAGGTGCAAAAGGTATTAAGATTGGTTCTACAATTTTTTCAATGTAAGAAGCTGCCGTGATACTTCTCGCTGATTACCATCAACTCCGTGTGAGCCTCTGCAGTAATACCTTCCCACACCATACTAGAGCCTCCACCAAACATGACTACTTGAACAATGTTACATTGGACATAACGTTCACCTGGCCGTCTATACACACTCATCCGTTTATCACTGCTATGGAGACAAAATCTGGATTCTAAACATAACGTTGCAACGCGTTGGCCCAATCAGCCTCTAACCAGTTAACTTGTTCTTGAGCAAATGTTAATCTGGCTCTGCGATGCTCTGCGTGTAATGGAGGGTCTGTCGCAGGATTCGAGATATAGTCGATTGATGGACACCAAGACGTTGAGCGATATAACGCTGACTTCTACCATCTTCCGGAAGAGTTACTGCACGCACTGAATCCTCAAAACTTAAGATGCGATTCTGATGAAGCACTTCTGACATTCTGATGAAGCAATTCTGACATTCATTATAAAATATTAACATTTTGTTTGAAATTTCATAATTTTGACAGGACGCAACAGCCTGTTTTCTTTAATGTGTATAAAAAGGTAAATAAAACATGCAGTTTTATTAAATTTT